TAGCAATTAAAGTATTGGGCTCTTTTTTGTTTGGTCGAGATGTCTCTGAGTGGAGAAGTGCATTGGCTAGACTGAGAGAAAATCCAAGCAAAGATGTCATGGATGTGCTTCGAGTAAGTTTTGATGGACTGGATGATATGGAAAAGGAAATATTTCTAGATATTGCTTGTTTCTTTTGCCTTGAGGTGGAGACATATGTGAAGGAAGTTCTAGATTTTTGTGGATTTTATCCTGAAATTGGTATAGGAGTTCTCATTGATAAATCGCTCATAACCAGTAAGATGGGGATAATTGAAATGCATGACCTGTTGAAAGAACTAGGCAGGAGTATTGTTCGAGAAAAATCACCTAAAGAGCCAAGAAAGTGGAGTAGGCTGTGGGACTACTGGGATCTTCAAAATGTTATGTTAAAAAATATGGTAAAATAATTTTTGAATATAAAATCCTAGGTTACCATTTTTCTAGAATCAATAATAATTTAAAAAATCTAACATTTTCTTTCTTCTTTGCAATGCTTTAGGCTGCAGAAAATCTTGAAGCTATAGTTATGCAAAGAATTCCTGACAATTTTCACGAGATTCAAGAAATAACAATGAGGGCAGATGCTCTATCAAAAATGAGTCATCTTAAGTTGCTCATACTTTGGAATATGAATTTTTCAGGAAGCCTCAGTTATCTTTCCAATGAATTAGGATATCTTAGTTGGAATAAATATCCTTTCACGAGTTTGCCATCAAGGTTTCAGCCAGATAAACTTGTTGAATTGAAACTGCCAAACAGTAGCATCAAACAACTATGGGAAGGCATAAAGGTTTGGTAAACTATTGATCGTTTTCTATTTTGTTTTTCTTTAAATGAACAAATAATTATCTCATGTTCTTTCCCGTTTCTCTTAGTTGATTAAAGTAACATAAAGAAAGCTTAAACGTCATTATTAATCTTGTCTCCTACTATTGGGTCTCCTTGCAGTCTTTACCCAACTTAGATGGATGGATCTCTCTCACTCCGAAAATCTTACGAAGATGCCGGATTTTGGACAGGTCCCAAATCTTGAGAAGCTGACACTTGAAGGATGCATAAAACTTGTGCAGATCGATCCATCCATTGGTATTCTAAGAAAGCTTGCCGATTTGAATTTGAAAAATTGTAAAAATCTTGTTAGTATTCCCAACAACTTTTTTGGACAGGCCCCTAATCTTGAGAGGCTGACACTTGAAGGATGCATAAAACTTGTGCAGATCGATCCATCCATTGGTGTTCTAAGAAAGCTTGCTCATTTGAATATGAAAAATTGTAAAAATCTAGTCAGTATTCCCAACAACATTTTTCATCTCAGTTCTCTCGAAAACCTAAATCTCTGTGGCTGTTCAAAATTATATAATAATCAGCTGTTAGAGAAACCAAGGCATGCAGAAAATTTAAAGAAGTTTTATATAAAGGGAAGAAATCCTATCAAATGCCAGTCAACGTTCTCCATCTCTGAAATTCTAATGTTGCCTTTCCGTGGTTTCTGTTCTCCAAGACATGAGGATTCAGTTGGTTTATTGTTGCCTTCTTTGCCTCGTTCCCTATATTTGCGAAATCTTGACCTAAGTTTCTGCAATCTACTTCAAATCCCTGATGCTATTGGAAGGTTACATTGTTTAGAAAGATTAAAGTTGGGGGGAAACAATTTTGTTACACTACCATCTACCATCAAGGAACTTTCCAAACTTATATATTTCAACTTGGAGCACTGTAAGCAGCTGAAATATTTGCCTGAGCTCCCAAGTACTCTCCCAATTTATGGAGAAACACGTTTTGATGGATTTTGGGCAGGATTAAATATATTTGACTGTCCCAATTTGAGCGAGATGGAAAACTGTTATAACATGGCTTTTTCTTGGATGATATGACTCCTTAAGGTACCGACTCCATCTTTCCTTTCCCTATCTCTCTTTCCCTCTCTCTTTTTTGTGTGTCTTTTGTGTGTCTGAACTAATACATAACTAATTTTTGTGGTATAAGGTGCACATGCAATCCTCCCTTCCCTTCGGTGAGATTCATATTGTTATTCCTGGAAGTGGAATTCCAAGGTGGTTCAACAATCAAAATGTGGGTAGTTCAATAAGCATGGATCCATCTCCAATTCTGCATGACAAATATTGGATAGGTGTTGCTTGCTGCGCAGCATTTGTGGTACATGATGATCTGACTAATTTGAGTGATACAAGACCACCTAATTATTTCCAAACTCTTTGGCTCGGTTTTGAAAAAAAATGGTGGAGGAGTTTTGCCCATCCTCCGATACATTTTGAGAAAGATCTGGTCACTGTTGAATCTGATCACTTGTTGTTACTCTTTTTCACTCGGGAAGTATTCATTGATGACTGTGTAAATTATTTATCACAAGGATCAAATGATCTTGATGGTATCAAATTGGTGGTAACCATGCGAGATCAGCCCAAAGGTTTGCACGTGGAGGTGAAAAATTGTGGTTATCGCTGGGTATTTGAGGAGGATCTGGAACAATTAAACACAAGAATGATGCATGGCAGAAATTCATCGGTTCAGAAGCGCAAGTTTTTAACAATGGATAGTAGCAATTCAAATTCAGCTACACCTCCATTAAAGAAATTCTAATCCATTTGAGGTAATATTTGATGCGGCAAGGCATTATTATTGTTATAAATTTATAATCTTTCATAACTACTCTGTTTTTGTATCTTGATGATGGTGATTTTGTTTTTCTATTCTCTTTCCAGGCATTTACTTGGACTTGAAAACATCCTCAGTATCTAATAATGGACAACAAAGCAAAATTAGACAATGAAAATTTAAAACTCTAAAGAACTTCGAGAAAAGGCTGACAATAAATTGGGTAATGGACTTTATTTTGTTAAGAGACTGAAGGTTGTAGATATTGAGGGACCCTATACTGACTACGAGCATGTTCAGCGGCTGATACCTCTAACTTAGTAAATCTGTATTGAACCTTGTAAATTCTGTATATAGTACTACCACAAGGAGTAATTTTTTCACTGATTCTTGCGTTGCTTTTGGTTTGACTGTGTAATTATCTTCCTTGGATCTTTTATTTGGTAATAGTTCTAGCTGAATAATTGATATGTTGACTTTAATCTTTTAATTATCAGATTCATGGAGGTTCGAGTCGAATCGGTACACTTGCAATTCAGATAGCTAAATACCGGGGAGCAAGAGTATTTGTTACAGCAGGTTCAGTAGTGCTTTTCATGTTATTGAGTATTAGTCAATGACCATATATTTAGATGTGGAGATTAGCTGTCAGTGTTAAACGATATATTGAGTACTCCTTGATGTTTATTGTGATTGATGTGTGGTGGCAGGTGTATGGTAGGATCTGAGTGTAGTTGAACATGACATTTATAATTTAATATGGTGCATTATGTATAGGGGCTGGCTTGCGTAATAGAAGTCCTGAAAATAAAGCAGCGATAATTAGTGAAGTGGACAAGAATGTTTGGCCTGCAATTGCAGAAGGAAAGGTTAAGACTGTTATCTTCAAATCTTTCCCCCTTTCTGAAGCAGCCGAGGCTCACCGGCTTATGGAAAGCAGCCAGCATATTGGGAAGATATTGCTTGTGCCCTGAACACACCGTGGTAAATACTGAAGTAGATGTCATACTTTGGATCATTTGAGTTTGGACTTCTTTCTGTATTTTGACCTCAGGATTCTCATTTAGTTGTGGTTTAAAATTACTGTTAAATATGTTATTAATTGTGTACGAGGGATCCATGTTGGGTGTGTATACTTAAATTTCTTTCTTCTTTTTTGATTTGATTTGACTGAGTTATTTTTCTATCTTTCACTACATACTTGAAACTTGAATTTGCTTCGTTTGGGAACGGAAATGAAAGAATGAAAGTGGAAGGATAGAAATTCACATATTGTTTTGAAATATGGTTAAATATGTTTGGCTATAAATTTTTTTGGTACAACTATGCAAGGCTTTTAGTTGAGCAATGCGAAAATCAGGATTAAAAGAAATATATGGCAATGATGTCAGATTATGTGAGGAAGAAGCTGAAGCATATGATGCACATGATGATGGAGCAGCGGTAGCACATAGAGGTTTTACTATTGGTGCTTGCATTCACGATTAATACACCAACTTCACCGTACCGTTTCACTCACAATTCCTTTCAAGAATATGATTAAAAAAGAAAAAGAAAAAGGGGCCCATTAATAATGGATACGCCTAATCAATTCCCACAACAATTCAACGATGCACAAATATGCGTGTATTCAACAGCGATAAAGGAAAATAAATTTTAAAAAAGTTGAATATATAGAATGCGCATTCACCGCGTGACAGATTGTAAGCACAAGCATTTAGCCAAACAACCGTGTGAAGAAACTAATTGGTTGAATGTATACATGCAAAAGCATGCCCATGCCATGATGTTACTCAAAAGAAACAGTATGGAATAGTTAAAATCAAATCAGCATGCAGCTTTTAATGACCCACTTAGAAAGAGCTTAACGGTCCTCAGCAGAAAATCTTTTGTATATAAACCAATAATGGCTCCTCATTTAGCCCAAAGCAAATACTAACAGCTTGAAATAAACCTAATAGTGGCTCCTCGTTTAGTCCAAAACAAATACAACAGCTTCATATAAACCATGGAATAAACCTACTAGCGCCTGCCACCTGGCACGTTTTGACAATTTTTTGTCCAATAAACATATTTAATAGTGGGATAACTTTGATCCTAAGGAGAACATAAAATTTGAGATAAAAAAAAAAAAAAAAAAACATTAGAAGCATGGAATAGAGTTAACTCAGAGAAAGTGACACCAGAGGATCAAACTTTAAAACATGCAGACAAATAAAGACTTTTAACCTCAAAATAATAAGACATCTTGCAAATTATCGTATAACATATTCTTTTCCTCTGTTCCTTTTTCAAGCATTACTCTGCTTGTGGATCTCCTCCCACTCACTTTTCATTTGCTTGGACAGAAGGGTCGTGTCGTGTCCCTGACAAAGTCTTATGAACAATTGAGTACTATTAGTAGGACTAGTACACTAGCGGTTTTTGTGTACTTCTCAGAGTGATATATAGAGAGAGAAGAAGAACCAAAATCGAAAATAATGAAGGCTATAGTGATAACCACTCCGGGTGGTCCTGAAATGCTGCAGCTACAAGACGTTGAAGACCCCAAAATCAGATACGACGAAGTCCTCATCCGAGTTCATGCCACCGCACTTAACAGAACCAACATGTTTCAGATAAATGGATCCTACCCTTCCCCTGAAGGTGCAAGTCCATGCCCAGGTCTTGAGTGTTCCGGAACTATCGAATCCGTTGGCAAAAACGTTTCCAGGTGGAAAATCGGCGATCAGGTATACCTATATCTCTTCCTTTTGCAAATGGGTTTCTATATTGCAATTTTGGTCTCTTCAAAAGTTTTAAACTTTTCGAGTTCTGTAGCAAAGACTACATATGCTTTTACTTTGAATTAGTATTGTGTATATATGCCCAGACTCAGCTTGATGATTGAACATTACTTTTTCATCATGGAAATTATAATCTCTATTGATCCCTTAATTAGTGTTGACTATGAATGAGGTTACGTTATGCTGGGGTTTTGAGAATACTGTTAGAATTGAATATACACACACATATGCAAGAGACAACCACACAAAGCGTATCTATAAAAAAAAAACTTTTCTTTTCTATTCTTGCTTTCTTGCTCTTTCTCTTTTTCTCTTGATCTACTTTTCATACAAACTATCAAAGGCTATTTATAAGCTATGAAACTGACAAACATAACTCCACACATAACACCCTCATTACTTTATAACTGACTCATTAATATTCTAAGTGACATAACTTCAAACTCATTAATGTCCACTAACACAAACCTAAGGACATGACTCTTCACCAGAAAACTCTTCACATTTCTATTTTCTATTTTCTATTTTTATCTCATTAAAATTTAACCCAACAAAACTCCCTCATAAATTTTAAATTCTTCTTTCTTTCTTCGAGTTGCTTCTACTTTTCTTCAACTTTCTGATCGCGCCTGCTTTCTTCAATCTTGATCACTGACAAAAAACATCTAACACCTTCCAACTTAATTAACTCAAAAAAACATCTCCCCTGCAATTATTTTTCTGAACATATTTTATTTTATCTGGTGGCTTCTTCAATTTGATATTTTCAGTTTCATTAGCAGGACTTTCCTTGTTTCCATTCGCTGCATCTTCTTCACCTGCAAGTTTCTCGTCACCCAAATTCTTCTCAGTTTCATTCGCCACTTCATCAGTTGCTTTCACAATTTTATTTCCTCGTCCAATCCTAATTTCTGCATCATTGGTATTGTCAACAAAACCTCTTTTTCTCTTCAAGACCACATCCTTTTCTTCAAATGCACCTTCCATTTTTTCGCCGTTCTCGGCTCCTTCATTGCCGTCTTCCTCGCACCTCCTCAATGGCATCTCGGACCAGCGACCTATGCCGGTCGCCGACGTCGACCTCGTCACGCCGGGGTCGAAGTCTCTTCCAAAACATGAACTCGGTGATTTAGCCGGGATCTCCCCCATCCCGGTTATCAACATGAGACTCGGATTCGCAATCTCCTCCAAGCCGGTCTCCATCAAGCATCTCGGATTCCACGCTTGTCGTTCCTTTGCTGGCTTCTCAAGCTCCTTCGACATCTCGTCTTCTTCCTTATCCTCTCTATCCGTCTTCTGAATTGACTCGCCGCTCTCAGCGTCTTCGATCACGGCTCCTATAGCCGCAGTCATCGTCTTTTTCTCTGATTCATCTCTCTCACGCTCCAATGCGTCGATCTTCTCCGCGGATACGTTGCCGTTGGCAACCTCGGACTCCGCCATCTCGGTCTCTTCTTCATCCGCATCATTCTCCTCATCTTCATCATCATCATTGAAGATTTCATCTTCTTCATTAATCAGATCAAAACGTCCAGGCAAGTATTTTGTTATGAAGGCCATTAGAAAATCCTTCCACATATTATTAAAGTCGCGGCAGTTCCATGTACGGAACCATTTGATTGCGCTTCCTCTGAGTCTTCTCATGGCTACCTGCCATTTGTCCTCCGTCCAGGTTTTTTCTTTTCGAAAATGTTCCTTCAACAGAGAAGCCAATCTAATGCTTCTTCCTTATCTCCATGGAAGAGTGGCACCTCCAACTCGCTCTTTTTCTCCATAGCTTTGATACCAATTTGTTAGAATTGAATATCCACACAGATGCAAGAGACAACCACACAAAGCGTATCTATAAAAAAAACTTTTCTTTTCTATTCTTGCTTTCTTGCTCTTTCTCTTTTTCTCTTGATCTCTTGATCTACTTTTCATACAAACTATCAAAGGCTATTTATAAGCTATAAAACTGACAAACATAACTCCACACATAACACCCTCATTAGTTTATAACTGACTCATTAATATTTTAACTGACATAACTTCAAACTCATTAATGTCCACTAACACAAACCTAAGGACATGACTTTTCACCAGAAAACTCTTCACATTTCTATTTTCTATTTTCTATTTTTATCTCATTAAAATTTAACCCAACAAATACGTCAGTTTGTTTTCCTATCTATGAATGAAAATTATGAGATTTGGTTTACAGGTGTGTGCTCTTCTCAGTGGAGGAGGATATGCTGAGAAAGTTGCTGTTCCTGCTGGACAAGTTCTTCCGGTTCCACACGGGGTTTCTCTCAAGGATGCAACTAGTTTTCCTGAGGTTGCATGCACTGTGTGGTCAACTGTTTTTATGACGAGCCGGTTATCTCAAGGAGAAACCTTGTTGGTATATGCTATGATAAACTGATAACTTCTCAGGAGACTACAATAATCTATTCTCTCAAAAGCATGGTTGTTTTTGTGCTGCTAAATTTCAATGGCTGAAAGCATATCCCTATGACTCTACTAGCATGTTCAATGGCTCATAGTCATACCTAAACTTAAAAAAATCTATTTTGGTTTCAGTTTCACTGCTTAATTTTCCTCCTAGGTTCTTTTATTTGGTAATAGTTCTAGCTTAATAGTTGATGTGTTAACTTTGACCTACTAATTCTCAGATCCATGGAGGTTCCAGTGGAATCGGTACATTTGCAATTCAGATAGCAAAATACCAAGGAGCAAGAGTATTTGTTACTGCAGGTTCAGCAGTGCTTTCTTTACATGTTATTGAGCAATAGTCAGTGACCATATATTTAGATGTGGAGATTAGCTGTCTGACATTTTATCCAGTGAAACTGATGTGTTTTTAAGTAATTATCACCCAATCTCATTCATTGAAATTCCAAGCAATGTTTACCAAAATTTTATTCTACATATTGCTTAGCAGGTAGTGAGGAGAAACTAGCTTTTTGCAAGGGTATTGGAGCTGATGTGGGCATCAATTACAAAACAGAGGACTTTGTTTCAAGGATAAAGGAAGAAACTGGTGGTCAAGGTATTATTATCTCTAGGAAGCATGATGTAATTTCCCGGCATTCCTCATTGTTAAATAATCTATGCTATATTGTAATTGATGTGTGGTGGCAGGTGTTGATGTTATTCTTGATTGTATGGGAGCATCCTATTATCAAAGAAATCTTGATAGCTTAAATTTTGATGGTAGGCTTTTTATTATCGGCTTTCAAGGAGGGTTTTCTACAGAAGTAGATCTCCGTGCTTTACTTGCCAAGCGTCTTACAGTACAAGGTATATTACAAATTTATGATTGTACCCTTTTCTAATAGATGCTCCTGTTCAAGTTTAGTTTTCTACATGTAAATAATTTTTGTATGCAAGTAAAAACATGGTGCTATATGTAAATATTTTATGGCGTATAGAAGGATCTGACTTTAGTTGAACATGACATTTATAATATCATATGGTGGATTGTGTGTAGGGGCTAGCTTGCGTGTTAGGAGTCCTGAAAATAAAGCAGTGATAATTAGTGAAGTGGAGAAGAATGTTTGGCCTGCAATTGCAGAAGGAAAGGTTAAGCCTGTTATCTTCAAATCTTTCCCTCTTTCTGAAGCAGCCGAGGCTCACCGGCTTATGGAAAGTAGCCAGCATATTGGCAAGATATTGCTTGTGCCTTGAACACCGTCGCAAATAATACATCATATATATACCAATATAATAATCATGAAGAGCATGCATATAGTAAATATGTATTTTCTTAAATATAAAAGTTTTTAAAGGAATTACAACATATATGACGTTTGAAATTTTAGCATTTTCTTAAAATACACAAAAGTGCACAAAATGCACAAGACACATTTCAATCAAAAGAATACATAAGTGATGTTATACGAACTATAATATGAATGTACATGACTTACTTTCTGTTTTGACTGAATAAAGTTGTGGTTTTAAATTACGGCTAGATGTGTTATTGTGTATGAGGAATCCAAGCTTACAACTTACAAGTTACATGTGTATACTTAAACTTGCTGGTTTGACTGAGTTGTTTGTCTATATTTCACCACTTTGAAACTTGAACTTGCTTTGGTTGGTAGCAAATTGAGGGAACGGAAATGAAAGAATGAAAGTGGAAGGATAGAATTTCACGTATTGCTTAGATATATGATTACATTGGGAAGAATAAAAAATGGAAAAAAAATGTCATTTTTAAATTGTTTGGGAAAGATTTTAAAAAAATGAACGGAATACAAACCATAAGCTTTTGAACGGATTTCAAAAATTGTAGGCGTAAAAGTGTAAAATAATAAAATTTGCAAGTTATTAGTTATATTTCTTTAACTTTCACCCTTTTTTGTATAGATTTTTTTTTTTTTGGTGGTTATAGATTGATTTTTTCCAGTTATAACTTATAATGATGATGCTTCTATTCAAAATCATTCTATTCACTTTTTGTCCTAAATATGGGAGTATGAAATTCTTACTATTTTCTGTTATTGCTTTGTGTATGAACAAATTGAGAGAGAAATAATTACATGCTACATTATTTTTAGCAATAATCGAAGTTTTTAGAATATTAATCTAAAATCATTTATAATTAAGGTATATATATATATATATATATATATATATATATATATATATATACTTATCATTTCTCAAGTTGCTTGAAATAATTTTATCTCCGGTAATTAAATTATAATCGTATAAAAAGGGATCAATGGTGATATGAGAAGAGAGAGAAAAAGAGAATCATAATCATTCAAAGGTGAATCAATTAATATAAAAAAATAAATAAAAAAACAACGTAGTTTTGGGTGGCCAGAGATAAACTTATTTCAAGTTGCTGGAAAAATATTTTTTCATATATATATATATAGGCTTTAATGTTTCTAAAGTGAACGTAGATAAGTTTTCTATATTCGCACCCAAAACGACGTCGTTTTAGGTTGAAAAATTAAAAAATTATAATGAAAGAGACTATTATAACCCTGAAATAATTTAAAATTGCAAAAACACCATGATTTCCGTCCAAAAACGACGTCGTTTCGATGAACATTAGATAAAGTTATCTAAAGTAACATTAGAAAAACAAACCCTATATATATATATATATAGGGGAAAATATTTCTGCAGCCACTTTAGATAAGATTGTCCTCAGCTACCTTTTTTTCACTAAGTACGATCGGTCGTACATTAAATCGTACATTAAAATTGTATTTTCTCTCTCCGCCACGTCAGCAGACAATGTCTGAGAAAAGAGAAAAAAAGAACAGCTTTATTGTTATTACTAAGTACGACCGGTCGTACTTAGTAAAAAGGAGTAGCTGTAGACAATTTTATCTAAAGTAGTAGTTGTAAAAATACTTTTCCCGTAGATATATATATATATATATGTAAGGTTGAATTGACGCGACTTGAGTACATGTATTAGTGAGAAATGAATCTTCTCATGAAATGATGTTAAAAAACTCAATTATTTGAATAACAATGATGAAAAATGCATTATAAGATAAAGGATAAGAAAATGATAATAATTGATTTATGGAAAAAGTGTGTATCATTTTTAAATATATAAAATTATATTATTTTAAGAGAGAAAAAGAGATAGATAAAAGAGGAAAGATAGTTGACAAAAAAAATAAATATGTGGGTCTCACATCTTTTTTTTTTTTTTGGTAAACTAGGTCTCACATCTTTATGTGAGAATCAAATGACACAAATTGTGTCATTTAAAAGGATAAATATTTTTTCCTTCATTTATATATAAAATTTTCAAACAAACAAATATTTTTTAAAATTCATTGAAGTAAGGTTAGTTGGTTTATTACTCGTAAAATTTTTGGGTGTCCTATCATATTAACTGTCCTTTTTTTTATGGTGTGCTATCATTTTGTTGATAATGCAAAAATAAATTTTCCACTCAATTAAAAATGAACTAGATGGCTAACTTATCAAAAAAATATGGTCGTCAAATGTTGTTCCAAAACAATGTTAACTTAAGCATGTAGGAATAACAAATTTCTTAAAAAAATATATTCAAAGTGGTTAAATTGTATGAAAATATATCAAATTTATTGTGCAATGTAAAAAGGGGGTGCTTTTTATTTTATTTTATTGACATCACGGTTTTGTTTCCAGCACAATAATAATATGAGTAAATATTATTTTGGTCCTTAACTAAAAATATGATTTTCACTTTAGTCCTTTACAAAAAAAAAATAAGTCTCGAGTTCTTAAGAATTTCAAAATGAACCTATTTAGTTGAAATTGTAGTCCCTCGTAAATTCAAAAAAGACTCACATTAGTCCCTCAAAAGTCAAAAGGACTAAAATAGATTCACTTTGAATTTCACTGGGACTAGATGAATTTTGTTGTTGTTGTAAGGGACTAAAGTGGGGATCGTATTTTTTGTTAGGGACCCAAATAGGTATTTATTCTAATAATATTTACACATCTTTATACAAAGATAGGATATTTTGACACCGATATCTTAAAATCATAATCGTTGATTTCCGTCAATCAACGGTTATTATGATTTCAGTTAATAAATTTGATATTAATTTCCAATAAATGATAACCGTTAACAATTAAGATTTGAACAATTAAGATTTGATGTCAAATTTCAAAGTTTGACATTAACGTGAATCTTTCCCTATTATATATTAAGAAAATATTATATTTATAAATTTTTTTGTTTGTAAATCACATTCTTGAATAAAATCATATCGGTTAGAGATAATCTAATTTGTAAATTTATAAAAAAGAATTTATCAACATTTATGTATGTATTATCTTACCATGGTGGCAAGATCTTGTTGATACCACGTGTGACTCGATTATTAACTTAGACAATAATGTTAACCTTGTACTTCTTCCGGTGCCATTGAGAAAGAAGCAGGTGAGTCAAACTCAGCTTGGTCGCCACCATTAAGGTTAGATTGCTGCTTTCACTTTTCATGTCCCTCCTTTCCCTTGCCTTGTTTTGTCGAAAATCAAGTTCTCTAGCTTTGTGTAGATTATCAATTTGTTATCCTTATTTCTGTGAATTTCGAGAGGAACTAGGTTGTTATCAACAATCATGGTTTGGTTGCGAAATTAGATGTAATGAATTGAACTGTAGAGTTGGTCTTTTAGTGTCCCCTTTGTGAGGGTTTTCTTTTATCATTCACTAATTTCCTTTTTTTCATTTTTAATTTGATCCCTCTCTGAATTTGTTTTGCAGGTTCTAAGATTCACTTTTTTTTTTATCTCAGGCAGCGTCTAGTGAGTAACAGTGATGGATCTAAGTTCACTCAATGCTGCACAGATTACTACGATGGGTTCTGCATTTTGTGTTATGCTTTCCATGCATTTCACGGTGCAGTTACTATCTCAGCATCTCTTCTATTGGAAGAATCCAAAAGAGCAAAAGGCTATTATCATTATCATCCTTATGGCTCCCATCTATGCACTTGTCTCCTTTGTGGGTCTGTTGGATATTCGAGGAAGCAAGGAGTTTTTCACTTTTTTGGAGTCCGTTAAAGAATGTTATGAAGCTCTTGTCATTGCCAAGTTTTTGGCTTTGATGTATAGTTACTTGAACATATCAATTAGTAGAAACATTGTGCCGGATGAAATTAAAGGCAGGGAGATACATCACTCTTTTCCAATGACACTTTTTCAGGTATGGCCTGCTTTTGCACACTTGCAATTGTGTTAAAATTTTGGGTTGAATGAATGTTCATACAACTTTGGCGTGATGGATGTGTTAGTTTGTTCTACTTACAAGTAACTTTTAGTTTGATTGGCACTCACTTTATATATGTATATATGATGTTAGTGATGTCATGATAATTACAGTAGTGTAAATTGATTTTCTGCAGCCTCATTCTGTTCGGTTGAACCACCATACTCTGAAGCTTCTAAAGTATTGGACATGGCAGTTTGTTGTCATCCGCCCAGTGTGTTCCATTTTGATGATTACGTTACAGCTACTTGGGCTGTATCCAACTTGGTTGAGCTGGACTTTCACAGTCATTCTCAACGTTTCTGTGTCATTGGCCTTGTATTCTCTGGTGATCTTTTACCATGTGTTTGCAAAAGAACTGGCACCACACAAACCTCTGGCGAAATTCTTGTGCATCAAAGGGATTGTTTTCTTCTGCTTTTGGCAGGTAAGCTTATTATCCTTTGTATTATCATCTGGTAAGCTGAGTTGCATGACCAACTATAGAAGACTAAAGCAGAAAAGAAACAAAGACCACTCCCTGTTAGTGGGAAGATAGGAAATAAAATTTGAACAACTAAACTTGCTGAACTTACAAAATTTGGCCAATATGGTGCTTTCTGTACATAAAGAAATTTTTTGACTTTAGATATAGAATCAATACAAATAATTAGACCATCTAGTGCTTCTCAACTTCCTTTTCTTTGTTTATTTTAATTATTTTCTTAACTTCTATTTATTATTTTGAGTTGAAACACTATAAGAATAAAATTTATCATTCTGCCACCTATTTGTATTGTATCCAACAGTAGCTGGTCGCAGTAAAAGTGTATTGCTACCCCAGGCAAACTTTACCAGCAGCGTCAAGGGGGTTTGAATCTTGGAGTCACCACTCTAGAGAAGGTTTTACCTGACCACCACCCTTGGCCCCAAGGGATCAATCTCACAGGCACAGCTATACCTGTGGAGATATCTGAAAGACCAAAAAGCTCCTAATGTATTGTAGTTTGGGTTTTCTTTACGATAAATGTTTGGCTAGTGAAGAAGCGAAGTCATTCACAGATAAAGTCATTCTGCATGGTCTTAAGATCTTTGAAGACTGATAATGACACGGGATCTAATTAGTAAATCGTATGACTTAATCTTCATTACCTGCTGAGGTTGTATCTGTCACTTATGTTAAGTCAAAACTCAAAACTGTAACAGTTGTCTGAATTATTTGGGATTTTCTTTAGAAATTAAATGTCTTTAACTTTTACCTCAAATTTTAAACCCTAAGTAGCTTTTAATTTTGATATTTGGTATCCTACCAGTTACATTCTATTCAGAATTTTCTGATGGCAGGGTCTTTCCATTTTCAGATATGCCAGTTACATATTGATATATGGGTTTATAACTTTGTGCTTCAATTCTTTTCCTTGTACTATACTTTTAGATTATCCTTCTTGTACAGCATCGTCATCTAGGGTCTTTTCCTTGATAATAATGACCTTTCTTTGGTCATATGCAGGGAATGTTGCTGGACATTTTAGCGGCAGCTGGCGTCATTCAATCTCGTCATTTGCGGTTAGATGTGGAGCACATTGAAGAAGCGATGCAGAATATTTTGGTATGTCTAGAGATGGTTATCTTTTCTGTTCTTCAACAGTATGCTTATCATGTTGCACCATATAGTGGAGAAGTTGAGAAAATGCTTAAACAAAACAAGAAAAATGAATGATATGATATGACCAATGAAAAAGTCAAGTTATAGAGAACTATTTAAGAGTTCTTATTGTGGCATTAGAAACATGAAAACATTGATGCCAAGTGGATGTGTTATTTTGACGAAGAATACCATTTGTATTTTAGAAGGCCACGCCTATCCGCCACCACTCTAAATTTTCCTTCTTCTTGACTGCTGTAATTTCCCAGCCCTTCTAAAGGAACTTAGCTTTTATATAATTACTTGCTATCTACTATCTAGCTTATTGTGATTTGCTTAGGATTATAATTGTTTGTATTACTCTGTGTCAGATACGTTTATGGTTTGAATCGAGGATATAATTTGATCAATACTTTACTCAAGCTCGAGTTCTTTCTTCCCTTCCAACATTGATTTGGGATTACTGTGTTTCGTGCCTGTTAAGTTGAGATATTGGTCTAGACTAGAGTCACGTTGCATTATCAATTCAAAGCTGGAGAAAGACAAAGAATGTCTAACCCCGCCAATCAATGTTGTTAAAACGTAGAGTTTATGTAAAAACGGTAGGGGTGAGCAAAAACGTAAAATCGCAAAACGTAAACGAAACGTAAGAGTTTACTAACGTATTAAAAATAAAATATATATCCAACATATATAAAATCAAAACCCACAAACATGTTTATTTTATAAGAATGTCACTTTTAATCTTTGTTTTAATTTATATAGAATAATTTTAATGTATTAATTATATAAGTTATTAAATTTAAGCTAATTAATGCCTAAAAATATATATAATTTTTTTATTATTACGCGTTATATATATATATATATATATATATATATATATATATATATATATATATGGGTTTTATAAGAGCTATGTTGTAGATAAAGTGATTGTGTTATGTTATAGAGATTCGTTTTGCGTGTCAAAGTTTTTTTTTTTTTTTTTGCTGCAGGCCCCACAAAATGTTTTGTGTGTAGAAAATTTTTTGTGGTCATGTTAAATGATAGATGATAAACCCTATATATATATATATATATATATATATATATATATATATATATATATATATTTGAACTATGCAAAAAAAAAATTCATATTACGTTTTGACACTACGTTTGAACTGTTTCTACGTTTCGACACTACGTTTGAAATGTTTCGACTCAAAATCTGTTTCAACTACCGTTTTGACTTGATTTTGATCATAAAAATGTAGACACGATTTATTTTTACGTTTCGACACTACGTTTTTATAACACTGCCGCAAATAGAATTAAAAAAAAAAAAGGAAAAAAAGTGAGCTTTATATATTCTTGTCTATCTAAGTACCAATTTAGTGTGATAGAATAAGTTACTATAATACATTATAATTTTACAAGTTGTTTGGTGTGACCGTGTGAGCAATAGCATAAATTAGCAAGACAACTTCATCTTCATTCGTCTATTTCCACACTTAGCAATAGCGCTAGGTAACGATGGTGATAACAAAAACGACGTGGCTTCGTTTCAGCCACTTACAGAAGAAACAACCACCACCAAGAGGCACCAATTCACCACCTCCTCACAAACACACCAACTAACCCTAGCACCACCTTCACTTTCTTCCTCATCCATGCCGCCGCTTCCCACACTTTCATTCGAGCTTATCGTGGAAATTCTTTGGAGGCTCCTAGTGAAGTTCCTCTTGCAGTTCCGGTGCGTATGCAAATCTTGGAATTCCCTAATTTCCTTTGATCCCCAATTCGCGAAGAAGCACATTAGCGGTTCATCGAAGCGCTTCTTCTAGTTGAGCTTCACGAACCCTTCACGCGAGTTCATTCTCAGGGCATGTCTTACCCCTTCCATATTAAACAACTTGACTACCCAGCTCGAGTACCCTTTGAAAAAGCGAAACAATTTTGATAGTTTTGATTTGATCGTTGGTTCTTGTGACGGATTGGGATTTCAAAAAGATTTTGGATAAAAAAATTCATTGGTATTCAATTAGGATTTTAATGGATTGAATGAAAATAACGTGAAAGAAAGAAATGTCTTCCAGAGAAACACAGCCTAGAAGTAAGTTTACTCATTTTATTTTAATTCGTATACTGTTTAAATTTGGTGTTAACATTCACATAAATTAGCAGGACAACTTCATCTTCATTCGTCTATTTTAACACTCAGAAATAGAGCTAGGTAACGATGGTGATAACAAAAATGACGTGGCTTCATTTCAGCCACTTACAGAAGAAACAACCACCACCAAGAGGCACCAATTCACCACCTCCTCACAAACACACCAACTAACCATAGCACCACTTCACTTTCTTCCTCATCCATGCCGCCGCTTCCCACACTTTCGTTCGAGCTTATCGTGGAAATCCTTTGGAGGCTCCCAGTGAAGTTCCTCTTGCAGTTCCGGTGCGTATACAAATCTTGGAATTCCCTAATTTCCTCTGATCCCCAATTCGCGAAGAAGCACATTAGCGGTTCATCAAAGCGGTTCTTCTAGTTGAGCTTCACGAACCCTTCACGCAAGTTCATTCTCTGGGCATGTCCTCTCCCATCCTTATTCAACATCTTGACTACCCAGCTCGAGTACCCTTTGAAAAAGCGAAAAAGTTTTGATTGTTTTGATTTGATCGTTGGTTCTTGTGACGGATTGGGATTTCAAAATGGTTTGGATAAAAAAAATCTATTAGTATTCAATTAGAATTTTAATGGATTGAATGAAAATCACGTGAAAGAAATGTCTTCCAGAGAAACACAGCCTAGAAGTAAGATTACCCATTTTATTTTAATTTGTAAACTGTTTAAATTTCGTGTTAACATTCACATAAATTAGCAAGACAACTTCACCTTCATTCGTCTATTTCCACACTCAGAAATAGCGCTAGGTAACGACGGTGATAACAAAAATGACGTGGCTTCATTTCAGCCACTTACAGAAGAAACAACCACCACCAAGAGGCACCAATTCACCACCTCCTCACAAATACACCAACTAACCATAGCACCACTTCACTTTCTTCCTCATCCATGCCGCCGCTTCCCACACTTTCGTTCGAGCTTATCGTGGAAATCCTTTGGAGGCTCCCAGTGAAGTTCCTCTTGCAGTTCCGGTGCGTATACAAATCTTGGAATTCCCTAATTTCCTCTGATCCCCAATTCGCGAAGAAGCACATTAGCGGTTCATCAAAGCGGTTCTTCTAGTTGAGCTTCACGAACCCTTCACGCAAGTTCATTCTCTGGGCATGTCCTCTCCCATCCTTATTCAACATCTTGACTACCCAGCTCGAGTACCCTTTGAAAAAGCGAAAAAGTTTTGATTGTTTTGATTTGATCGTTGGTTCTTGTGACGGATTGGGATTTCAAAATGGTTTGGATAAAAAAAATCTATTAGTATTCAATTAGAATTTTAATGGATTGAATGAAAATCACGTGAAAGAAATGTCTTCCAGAGAAACACAGCCTAGAAGTAAGTTTACTCATTTTATTTTAATTTGTAAACTGTTTAAATTTCGTGTTAACATTCACATAAATTAGCAAGACAACTTCACCTTCATTCGTCTATTTCCACACTCAGAAATAGCGCTAGGTAACGACGGTGATAACAAAAATGACGTGGCTTCATTTCAGCCACTTACAGAAGAAACAACCACCACCAAGAGGCACCAATTCACCACCTCCTCACAAATACACCAACTAACCATAGCACCACTTCACTTTCTTCCTCATCCATGCCGCCGCTTCCCACACTTTCGTTCGAGCTTATCGTGGAAATCCTTTGGAGGCTCCCAGTGAAGTTCCTCTTGCAGTTCCGGTGCGTATACAAATCTTGGAATTCCCTAATTTCCTCTGATCCCCAATTCGCGAAGAAGCACATTAGCGGTTCATCAAAGCGGTTCTTCTAGTTGAGCTTCACGAACCCTTCACGCAAGTTCATTCTCTGGGCATGTCCTCTCCCATCCTTATTCAACATCTTGACTACCCAGCTCGAGTACCCTTTGAAAAAGCGAAAAAGTTTTGATTGTTTTGATTTGATCGTTGGTTCTTGTGACGGATTGGGATTTCAAAATGGTTTGGATAAAAAAAATCTATTAGTATTCAATTAGAATTTTAATGGATTGAATGAAAATCACGTGAAAGAAATGTCTTCCAGAGAAACACAGCCTAGAAGTAAGTTTACTCATTTTATTTTAATTTGTAAACTGTTTAAATTTCGTGTTAACATTCACATAAATTAGCAAGACAATTTCACCTTCATTCGTCTATTTCCACACTCAGAAATAGCGCTAGGTAACGACGGTGATAACAAAAATGACGTGGCTTCATTTCAGCCACTTACAGAAGAAACAACCACCACCAAGAGGCACCAATTCACCACCTCCTCACAAATACACCAACTAACCATAGCACCACTTCACTTTCTTCCTCATCCATGCCGCCGCTTCCCACACTTTCGTTCGAGCTTATCGTGGAAATCCTTTGGAGGCTCCCAGTGAAGTTCCTCTTGCAGTTCCGGTGCGTATACAAATCTTGGAATTCCCTAATTTCCTCTGATCCCCAATTCGCGAAGAAGCACATTAGCGGTTCATCAAAGCGGTTCTTCTAGTTGAGCTTCACGAACCCTTCACGCAAGTTCATTCTCTGGGCATGTACTCTCCCTTCCTTATTCAACATCTTGACTACCCAGCTCAAGTACCCTTTGAAAAAGCGAAAAAGTTTTGATTGTTTTGATTTGATCGTTGGTTCTTGTGACCGATTGGGATTTCAAAATGGTTTGGATAAAAAAAAATCTATTAGTATTCAATTAGAATTTTAATGGATTGAATGAAAATCACGTGAAAGAAATGTCTTCCAGAGAAACACAGCCTAGAAGTAAGTTTACTCATTTTATTTTAGTTTGTATACTGTTTAAATTTCGTGTTAACATTCAAATAAATTAGCAGGACAACTTCATCTTCATTCGTCTATTTCCACACTCAAAAATAGCGCTAGGTAACGACGGTGATACCAAAAATGACGTAGCTTCGTTTCAGCCACTTACAGAAGAAACAACCACCACCAAGAGGCACCAATTCACCACCTCCTCACAAACATACCAACTAACCCTAGCACCACCTTCACTTTCTTCCTCATCCATGCCGCTGCTTCCCACACTTTCGTTCGAGCTTATCGTGGAAATCCTTTGGAGGCTCCCAGTGAAGTTCCTCTTGCATTTCCGGTGTGTATGCAAATCTTGGAATTCCCTAATTTCCTCTGATCCCCAATTCGCGAAGAAGCACATTAGCGGTTCATCGAAGCGCTTCTTCTAGTTGAGCTTCACGAACCCTTCACGCGAGTTCATTCTCATGGCATGTCCTCTCCCCTCCTTATTCAACATCTTGAC